GGCCGCCGTGCAGGCACAGTTCTCCAAGTGAGGGAGGCCCCGGCCCCGGCCTCGGGGCGCGCCCCGGCCCGGCCTCCCGCCGCCCAGCTTCTCTGCGCCCCAGCGCTGCGGGAGAGCCGGGCCGAGAAAGGAGGCCGTTTCGAACCTTCTCGCCCAGAGGATGGGCAGTCCAGCACCCCGTTCCCGCCCCCAGCCCCGGAAAATTAAAGGGACCGGAGCGGAGGTTCAACCGAGCGCCGGGGCTCTTTGCGGTTCTGAGTCGATTCCAGCTGCTTTCGGCGGGAAGCTCGCGCATCCCTCTCCCCACTCCGCGCAGCTCTCTGGGTCCTTGGAGTTGTGCGTTCGCGAGGGTGGTGTGGACCTTAGGGCGCCGTGCGGGGGTTGGGCGATTGGCTTGCCCTACATGGGGCAGGAGGCCAGCCCGAAGCGAGACCTTCTGGGGACCCAGCACATCCGCTTGCAGGGGCGACACCCCGAGCCAGAGGTGGGGGGCTGATCCCCAATTGTCTTCTATTCCTTCTCCCCGGCCACAGGCCGCAGGCACCTTTGTTCCCACTGGCCAAGCCCTATCAAAGAAGGCTGCCGGACTTCGAGACGCTGAAGCAAAACCAGTTAGTCGGTGCAGATCATCAGCGTCACAGACGGACAGACGCTCCGTGACCGGACGGTTGGCACCGCGGTGCCGCGCTGACAACTCCATGGCCGCTGGGTGTGGTGGGTTGGAAAGTCGGTCCGTTTCTGTACCCTGGCTGTTAGAGGGCTGTTTTTGAGAAGCGCATAACCACGTATTTTGTTGGGGAGATTATTCGCTGTTAAATCCGAGGGTTTTAGGACGTCCGTTTAGAACTCGAGATTTTTCCCCTCTCCTCCCGCAAGGTAGCATAACCAACATTTGAGCTTGTTAAAAAAAAAAAAAAAAAAAAAAAACCGCCTTTCACGCAAACGGTGTTCCCGGTTTACTAAAGTAGGTAGCACTCCATTTCGCAGTTGCGGGCTTGTCAGAAAGCACGATCGCTGGTTAACGTTCCATCTCAGAAGACAGGACGCCGCAGCCCCCAACCGCCCGCCGCTCGGCGATGCCGCTGCGGTGGCGGCTGCTGGGCCGCACTTTTTGCGCGGTGCTGTTGGGGTCCGGGTCTTTAAAAAATGCGCCTGGCATGTCTTCCCTGTCACCGCGGTGCCCATTGGAAAACTATATAAATCACAGGTTTTGATTTGTTACAGGCGTTAACATTATTTTACATAAGCTTATGTTATCATCCTTCAGCAGCTTGCTTGCTTTTTTTGGCGTCTAAGGTTTTTTGCTGCTGGTAGTAGCCGAATTTAACTTGCATTTAATTTTATCTCTAACTTTGTTTCATTGCGCTGTGCAGAGTCAACAAAATAAATCATTTAAAAGCCCTTACATTTTTCGTCTGATTTGTTTATTAAAGAAAAAAAGTGCCCACATATGCTGATTGACTGAGACTTTCGGCGTGAAGTTTAGTAGTCAAATGATTGGGGTTCAAATTTTTGAAACTTCTTCTCTCCATTTGTAAACGAATTCTATGAACAGGCGACTGTAGTTCAAGTTCAAGCATGGGCTGAAAATGTAACAACTGTAGGTGCGCACGTGGGTGGATAGGCTAGAGAAGGGAGGGAGGCAATTCCAGCAATTATTTCTGAGCCAGTCTTGGGGGAACCTCTCTTTCACTGAAACTTCCTCATCCACAGAATCGGTTAAGTGACACATCATCAAATTATTTTGCATCTCAACATCTCAGAAATCCACTTTTTTTTTTTTTTTTAATTTTAGTGGACAAAAGCTTACGCAATGTCACACAGCTCTGAGCTATTTCCCTGTAGTCTAAATAAGGTTGGCTTGCCTCCTCGGCCATTAGACCTTACACATCGTTTAAATCTGCTAAGATGTGAAGAAAGCTCCCCTGTCTGACTGGTGGTCTTAAGACGAATGTGGAGTGTTGACTCACACATATGCAGTATTTAACAGTCTCCATTCTGCAGACTGCATACTAGATTTCAGAGTTGTTCATTAAATCCAACCCTGTTTTAAGGTAAGGAGCGGTTGTGGAGAAGTAACCTCCCCTTTAACCTCGGGAAAACTAAAGAAAACTCACACGTGACTGACTTAATTTTACCCACGCGGCCTGATCTGAGGCATTTAGGGAAAACGAGCACTCACTTTGGAAACATGTTAAGGGGGTGGAAGGGATGCTGGAAAGACAGAATTGACTTCACGGTTTACTCTCCACTACTAACCTAAAGGTTGATGGTTCAAACCCGCCCAGCAGCATTGTGGAAGAAAGACCTGCTGGTCTGCTCTGGTAAAGATTGTCATTGCTGTTAGTTGCCGTAGAGAGGATTATGCCTCATGGAGACCCTATGTAAAGCTTACAGCCAAGAAAACCCAGTGGAGCAGCTTTACTCTGTAACACTCAGGGTTGCCATGAGTGGGAGTCCACCCAACAGTGATGGGTTGACAGTTGCGGCTAAGTGTCTGTTTCCTCGAAGGGGAGGCAGGAAACAGCGTGCAAGAAAACAGCTCTGTGCACCAGCCTCTTCCAGGGAGGAAGTCCTCATTCCTCCTGGTCACAGGCTTTTGTGATATGTGAAAGTCTGCTGTGGCCTTCTGTCAATTCGATGCCTGTCTTTGCTTCCCTTGTGTCTTGACAAGAGACAGAAGAGTGAAAAATTAACAACTAAATCAAAGCCAGCCCACGTCCTCCTGGGCGGATGGGGGGACACCTATATTTCTAGGAGATTAGAAAGCAGCAGTTCCTCCTGCAACCCCAGCTGTCACCTAGATGCGACCATAATCTCAAAACCGTCTCAGAAAGAGCGAAGATCCCCAGGGAGGAGGAAGGGCCTGGTGGTGCTGGATGTTGTCTTTCTTCCTCTCTCTGCTTGTGGACGGGAGAAAGCCCCGGTGCCTAGTGGGAAAGAAGCGCTGTATGTGAGTTTTTATTTAACTGAAAAACTCACACCACATTGTGCCTTCCAGAACTGCTAAAGATTGTGCCTGAATTTAATAAGGGTATGCAGGACTGGCTTAGACATCCGCAAAATACTTGAAGTTGTCTGCCTCCATGTAGCATCTTGCTGGTCACTGTGCCAAGCAAGAGAAACAGACACGCTCCTTATAAGGAGATTATATCCTAAAAATAGCATCAGCAGGTACTCAGGAGTCCTGCCGGATACAAGAGATAAAACATGATTATATACCATGTCGACAGTGCGAAGCTGAACCTCTCCACACAGATCTATGACAGTGTATCCCGCAGGCACAAAGCTTAGGTTTAGAAGTGTATGTTGTGGAGCAGGGGGTTGATGTAGGATGGGATGTGATTTTTTCAGACGTCTGCAGTGTCAGGCCACGCCTGCAAAGGAGCTCGCTGATTGACCCCCTCACTTGTAGTGAGCTGGAGCAGGCTTTTTGTAGAATGATCACGTTTAAGCTGTTCTTTGAAGGGGTTGAGGGTGTTAGGCAGGCTTCTTAAGAAAGGGTACACCACGTCTCAGACGCAAGATGAGAAGGAACGCGTGGCTCACTGCCAAAGAAGTTCCCTGCACCGAACCAACCAACTTTCAGTCCCAGTGATCACAGAGAGCAGAACCTAAGGGGAAAATACACAAGGCCCTGAGATATTACGTTGCTATTATGTGTGCTGGAGGCCAGGTGAGCAATCAGTAAACAGGTTGAAGGCAGCGGGACTTACCTCACCCATAGTGCTGGTCTATTCACAGGTCTTCTCTAACGGGGACTTGTGACACCAGGTGTGAACTATACAACCTGGACAGTGAGTGTGGCCATCAAGGGGGAGTCTCCACCCCAAGCATGGAAGAGGTTTTAATTTGCCCAAGTTCAGAGTATGAGCGACAATGCTTCCATGGTGCCCAGCTAGTTTGGGGGTTTTCATCTTGCCCAGGTCTGCATAGGATGCTGCCTGTGAGCTGGCAGTCAACACCCAGTGCTTCAGCCTACCAGCTGGACCTCCTAGAGCCTCCTGCTGTGTTCAGGAAAGCAGGCCAGAGAGGAAGCCAAGCCAGGAGGACATTTTTTTCCCCCAACACACAAGGATACTTAATGAACTTGCCGAGAACGAGGTGTTGGTAAGAACCAAACCAGACCAGCTGCCGTCAAGTCGATTCTGACTCATGGTGACCCCATATGTGTCAGAGTAGAACTGTGTTCCATAAGGCTTTCAATGGTGTGATGTTTCAGAAGTAGATCACCTGGCCTTTCTTCCGAGGTGCCTCTGGGTGGATTCAAACTACTAACCTTTCCGTTTGTAGCTGGGGTTAGGAAGAGCTGTTAAAGCGATGCTTTTGGTCACTGTGGCTACAGAGCATCTGCCGGCAAAGCACCTTTCCTCCACAGGTGTCTTCCTGCGCAGTCGCTGCCCCTCCCTCTCGGCACACTCAGTAAACATTCAACAAAAAGATGACATTAACCAAAGAAGGCTCAGGGAGCGACAGAGGGAAAAATGCCATGTTTTCCTAAAGCACAAATTCACTTTTATCGAGAAGGTTTTGGTCGCAGGAAGAGTCATTTGAAATATTGTTTTTGAGCACAGTCCAGGTTATCCCATCAACTATAACGTGGGAATTGAGCAGCAAGAAACTCCTCCGGACCCACATCCAAACTGGTCTCGTTAACTGCGGAGAAGCTACAAATTAACTTTTAACTACACCCAAAGTAAACGCTGAAATGCCTGATCAAAAATTCAGTCAAGTTCTTTCTGTGCACGCAGGTTTAACAGCTCCATCAGAAAATGTCCCCCCTTGCCTCCTGCTCGTGTTGACAAGCCCGGCCCTGAGCTCTGACCAAAAAAAATCCCAACTCATGGCGACCCGTGTGTGTCAGAGTAGAACCGTACTCCATAGGGTTTTCAGTGGCTGATTTTTTGGAAGCACGTGGCCAGACCTTTCTTCCAAGGTACCTCTGGTTGGACTCGAACCTCTAACCTTATAGATAGCAGCTGAGCACGTTAACCATTTGCAAGTCCTTCAACGCCGCAGGCTACACGATGCTCAGCGGAAAAAGTCCTGGATTGAAAGCAGAGGGACTGCACTTCTCCTTTATACTTGGTCTTCCAATGTGGCCACAGATGGCAGAGCCCGCAGGTGGCCCACAGGTGGGTCACTGCACAGGACAAAGGCCACAGGCACCAAAGTCATATCTCTGAGTCCCTCGGAATGTCAGTGGGGCAAAGGACCTTAAAAGCCACATGTCCACCCTCCTCCCTACACGGATAAGGCAGCTGAGGCCCAGGAAGGCTAGGAGACCCGTTCAAGGCCACCGAGCTAGTCGGAGGCAGCAATGCCCGGGAGCAGTGCTTGCTTTGGGTGGGGGATCACAAGCTGTACCTGCTTTGGGTGGGGGGTCACAAGCTGTACCTGCTGAGGGAGTTACAAGCTGTACCTGCTTTGGGGGGTCACGAGCTGTACCTGTTTTGGGGGGGAACAAGCTGTACCTGCTGGGGGGGCGGGGCACGGGCTGCTTTCTTGGTTTGTCCTGGTGGGGCTGACATTTCCTGGACACAGGAATTTCAGCAGGAGGTTCCCAACCCAAACAGCCCCAGATGACCGGGCTCTGGCCTCTTCCAGCCTCTCTGCTCAGCCCTCTGTGGGCCCCCGCGTGTGGCATCAGGAGGGAGACAGCCTAGGGCCAATCCCCTGCCAGCTGACCTGGCTGCGGTTGCGCCACCTGAACATCCTCTGCTAGCCTCACCCCCTTGCCCTGAGGGAAGCCGGGATTGGTGACAGGGAGCATCAGGCACACCCTTCGAGAGCTGCTCTGATGGTTGCACGTGTGTCATTAGGGTTTCAGAAACCAACTTCTTCCAGCTGACAAACGGACAGGAAGGCAGGAGGGGACAACGTAAGGGACTTTCTCTTTCTTTGCAGCCTTTTAGCATTTTCACGTAGAGACTAAATGTGCTGACTGCTGGATCCTGATGTTCTCAACACCCTGGGCATCTTGCTGCTTGGTGTTTTTTCCATGGATCTGAGACATTCTCCTCCCCAGCCACTGGGGCTGGCTGCCCGCCAAAGCCCTGGGGTAGGGGAGAGACCCCTGACGCGGGCCTGCATCTGGAGCGAGAAGTAGGCAGCAGGCCCAGAAGTATTCGCTGTAGGTCTCAGCACTGGGATCCAGAAGGGCTATCGTGTCCCAGAAGTTTTTATGTCATGTACGTGACTCCTCAGAGGTTGCCAGAGTAGTACAGCCAGGAGACAGCAAAATAACAAGGTCCGGTCAGAACACTCATCTCCCGGGTCAAACAAGAAAGAAGGAAAAAGAAAAGCCAACTCAGCTGGGGGCGGCGGTGGGAAAGGAGCCTGGCTGGTGATAAAATGATACTACCAGCAATAAAACGATGCTGCTAGTAGTAATAAAATGATACTACCAGTGATAAAACGATACTACTACTAATAAAAATAATAACGGCGTCAGCAAGAGCTAACACGGTGCTCATCGGTTGCCAAGCAGAGTCTAAGCATTTCACATGTGCCTTTGCTTCCTCCTCCTCCTCTCTCAGGGCAAGACTGTGCCCCCCACCTGTCCTCTCTCTCCCCCACACCCAGCTCTAGCTGTTCTTGAGTACTAGTTAAAACATGTCTCTCCCGGATACCCTGCTAACTCAGACCTGGAACCACTCCCGAAGTCCACCTTTCAGCCAAAGATTAGACAGATTAGACAGGCCTATAAAACAAACAATAACCCATGTGAGGAACTTGCTTCGCAGTTCAATCACACATATAAGACCAAACGGGCAACACCCGCCCAAAAGCAAAGACGAGAAGGCAGGAAGGGACGGGAAAACACGGAGAACCCGGGGTGGAAAGGGAAAGGGGCAGAGTGCCGACACATTGCAGGGATTGCAACCAGTGTCACAAAACAATTTGTGTATAAATTTTTGAAGGAGAAACTAATTTGCGCTGTAAACTTTCACCTAAAACACAACAAAATTAGAAAGAAAAAGACATGTCCAGTCGATGCGCTAACGAGGGTTTCCACAAGCCCATCACGTGACAAGTAGACGCTGCACTTAACTCCTCCTCTTCTGAAGCTGAAGTCCCCTGAGGCCACGTGGTGACTTTGTAGGTCATTTCACATGTAGCGTTTTGCTGTGGTTGCGCCACTTTGTATTTTCAAAGTTCCCAGGCCGAGTGGTGGCTGCTATCAGGGAATGAGGGAGTGAGATATTGGTCAGGGATTGTGCGTGGGGCAGAGGATAGACTTCACCAACCTTTCAAGACACTAAGTGTCCCTGACACCCCCCGGCCACCGTGACAGGAAGTGCTCGCTTTTCAGGTAGTGATCATTAGGTGTCGTCCAAAACAGCTCTTAAAAAACAGAGTTCAGCATCGAATCTCTGGGTGGTGCAAATGGTTAACACACTTGGCTGCTAACAGAAAGGTTAGAGGTTCAAGTCCACCCAGATGCCTCAGAAGAAAGGTCTGGCAATCTGCTTCCAAAAAATCAGCCACTGAAAACCCTACGGAGCACAGTTCTTCTCTGACACACATGGGGTTGCCATGAGTCGGAATTGACTTTACGGCAACTGGTTATAAACAACAGAGATGAGCGGACGAGGAATCAGGAAAGAAGACTTTGGAGACGATTTGAAAACATTTATCTACCTAGCTTTCCAATCAAAGGAGTTTTGTTGTTTTGTGTTTTGTTTTGCTGGCTTGCTTCTGGCGGTTCTCCTGGAAGCTGACCGCTCTGCAGCCCTGGTTATCCCCACACCACAGTCTTGTGCTGTATCAGGCAGCGTCACGGTAAGGAGTTAACCCAGCTCTCTCGCTGTACCCACCACCAGTGAAGCAAGATCAATAAAGCTGGCCGTTAGGATGCACTGATCAATAGACAACCTTGGAATTCACTCCTGATGGTAGCATCCCCACTCCTTGGGGCTGTGAACGCATTAGAAGTTGCCTTCTGTATGTTATATTCAGACAGCCATCCCCGGCCCCACAGTAACTCCGCAGGAAGCTCGCAGCTTTGAGACAAGCTGTCCCTGGGAGTGTGTGAGGGAAGGTGTGTTGAAGCTGGGCTGGGGCTGGCCGACCGCAGCCCCGGGGAGTTGGGAGAAGGAAGAGGCTCACCTCCTTTGCCCTCATCTCCACCCCCAGGAGCCTGTGCTGTGTCCAGGTGCGATCAGATATCAATCTCCTCTTTCATCCTCCCTGTCTCCCTCCTATTCCTTCTTCCCTTTAAACCTGTCAGCACACTGCCCTTGTTGGTTGGGCCCTGTGACCTTGGACTGGCTACTTGGACTCTGGCGGTCTTGGTCTTCTCACCTCTGAGATCAGGGTAACAACAGGACCCACTTCAATGGGAGTTAAACGAGACAGTGCGTGTCAGCGGTTCAGCACAGCGCCCGGACCCGTAGGTCCTCCATGCCATTGCTGCTGCCGTTAGGTGCTGCCGAGTTGGCTCCAACTCACGGCAACCTTGTGTAGAACAAAAAGCAATGTTGCCTGGTCCCGTGCAATCTTCATGGTCATTGGTTGGTGTGTTTGAGCCCATTGTTGCATCTACTGTGTATTTTAAGTCCCTTCCAACGCAGGGCTCATCTTCGGGCAGTGTATCAGACAGCATTCTGCTGTGATCCAGGGTTTTCATGGGCTTATCCTGGAAGCTCCGCTGAGACCCGTCCACCATGGGTGACCCTGCTGCTGTTTGAAATACCAGTGGTAAAGCTTCCGGCATCACAGCAACGTGCAAGCCACCGCGGTGTGACAAACTGACGAACAGGTGGTGGCCATAAGCGTTAGTTATTGTCATTGTGGTTTCAAATTTTATTGTTGTTTCTACTCACGTAATTTCCTCCATTGGCTAGAAGTGCATGATTTACATCATAATACATGCAGACGATGATCGTTTAAGAAAGCAACGGTGCGCACTCAATCATGCCCATGTTCTCTTGCAATTCATTAATAGGGCCCATGACAACATCCGATGACACCATTCGAAGTCCATTCGAATGAGCAAAACTGCCTTCCAGCCCTTCTAGTGCTACCTTGGTGTTTCTTGAGGGGCTTCTCTTCAGGAGCTCTGTGCTAAGCTGAGAGGACAGCGGTGGCTCAGAGGTAGAATTCTCGGCCACCCACCTCATGTGCAGCTACCACCTGTCTGCCAGCGGAGGCTTGAGCATTGCTATGATACAGAACAGGTTTGCTACTAAGACGGACTAGGAAGAAAGGCCTGGTGATCTACTTCTGAAAATCAGTCCGTGAAAACCCTACGGATCGCAACGGTCAGATCCGCAACTGATCACGAGGATGCGTTGTGCACAGGGTCACCATGAGTCGGGGACCTACCCGCCGGTGGCTCACAACAACACATTAAGCTCATCCTCCAGTCTTGGCTCTCGGCCCCGCCAGGACGCAGGCTGTGGTGCCGAGCCCGTATGGGAGCCGGACGCTGCTCCAAGGTGGGTGGGGGAGGGCACTGGCGTTCTCTGCTCCCCGCTGATCGACTAACACACAATGGGTTCTTCAGAAGCCCCTGCGTTTCAGCTGTCTTGGCCACCGCGGCCACAAGCTGACTAGATGTCATTCTCCACCAGCGAAGCGTCAGCTCAGGACAGATCCAGGCGGCAGCAAGCGGGTTGTGGTGGGCGGCACAAACAGCAGGCTGGGGCGCATGAAGTCACCGCCTGACCTCATCCCTGCACATGGACGCTGAATGAGGCTCAGTCAGGCCAGGAGCGCCTCCGGGCAAGGTGCTGGGCTTCTCTGCCAGGGGGGCTGGAGGGCGCTGCCGGCCCCTTCCAGACAGTCGCTCCTTTGTCCGGGAGTCGTTTGCTGGGCATCTACCTACTAAGTGCCAGGACAGCAAGTGTTTCTCAAAACAGTGTTTTTAGTCATCTGAACTCAAGGGGTGGTGCAAAGAGTCAACGCGCTCCACTGCTAAAAGAAAGGTTGGAGGTTCAAATCCATCCATAGGTGCCTTGGAAGAAAGACCTGGTGATCGACTTTCGAAAAATCAGCCATTGAAAACACAGTGAAGCACAGTTCCACTCTTACACACGAGTCGGAATCCACTCGATGGCAACTGGTTTTAAACTTGGGGGGGCAGGGCGCCTGTATTAGTTTCCTAGTGCTGCCATCACAGAGAACCACAAACGGGGTGAATTCTAAGGACAGAAGATTATTGTCTCACAGTTCTGCAGACGAGTAGTCCAAGCTCACAGTGTCAGCACCGCTGTGTTCTCGCTGAAGGCTCTAGGGGAAGCGTCTGCTCATCTCTCCCGGCATTCCTCAGCTTGCCGCTGCAGCGTAATGCAGCCTTCACACGTCATCCTCCCTGTGTCTCTCTGTCCGTGTGTCTCTTCTCTTTTCCACCATCCAGATGGGATGAGGATTCACGCTACTTCACAGCATGTTGTCGTAACTTGCGTTGGGAGGCCCTGGTGGTGCAGTGGTTAAGAGCTCAGCTGCAAACCAGAAGGTCAGCAGTTCAAATCCACCAGCCGCTCCTTGGAAACCCAGTGGGGCAGCTCTACTCTGTCACATGGGGTTGCTATGAGTCAAAATTGATTCAACGACACCTAACAACAACCTCCGCATCTATAAAAAGGGTATGATAAGGGTGTTTACCTCACAGGACTGCGGTGAGGGTCAAATGAGGCACACAAGCCCTCAGCTGAGCCCCTGGAGCCATTTTTATCAGCCGTTACAGTGCAGACACACCCACGCAGCAAATCTTGTCTTCCTCCCCTTTGGCGCACAGGCATTTGGGGCAGTGGAAGGGACAATGCCCAGTCGGTTCACTTAGTTACTTTGGAGACTGTGTGACGGCCCCCCGAGGAACCCAGCGTTGACAACACACACGTCTGCAGTTGTCGCTGTCGTTTTTCCTTAAGTAAACCTCCAGGATGAGGCAGTGGTGGCTCCGTGGTAGAACGCTCGCCTTCCATGCAGGAGATCTGGTTCAAATCCTGGCCGATGCACCTTATCCGTCTGTCAGTGGAGGCTTGAGTGTTATTTGATGTCAAACAGTTTTCACCAGAGCTTCCAGACTAAGACAGATTAGGAAGAAAGGCCTGGCGATCTACTTCTGAAAATCAGCCAATGACAATCCTATGGATGACAACAATATGATCCACAGCTGATCATGGGTATAGAGCAGGATTGGGCGGCATTTCATGTCATTGCGCATGGGGTCACCATGAGTCAGGGGCCGTCTTGATGGCAGCTGACAACAACAACGGACTTCTAGAAGTAGTAATAATAATAGGAGTAGTAGCAACAAGTTCATCCCCAGGGTTGATGTCACCCAGTGCAGTAACTCATTGTGTCTCCCCCCCATGGACCTCCTCCCGTACCAGACTGTACAGATTCCTTAATGTTTTTTGTGCTAATGTTACTTCTAAATTGTAATTCCCGTATATCAGCCCTTCTTGTCCTTTAATTACTACTTTAGTCTCAAAAAAGTTATTGATATAGGTTCACAAATACTAATTACCACAATATTGTAGCTAAATCACCAGAAATTTGACAAAATCAGCCATTATAAAAACACGGTAGCAACAAAAACAACAGCGCGGTAGCGCGTGCAGACGAAACCACGTGATTTGACGCGCCCTCATAATAACGACAGCTCTGTGGAGCGCGTTAAAAGGTTGAAGAAGTAAATTAGCATAGAGTGTTAGCCTTGTAGGTATGTTGATACATGTAAGCTGGGCTTACAAAAAATGTTTTTGTTGTTACAACTAACTACAGGGATAATTTTATAAAAAGTAATATATTTCTGCGGAAACACTGCACCAACATTTTATAGACAGTCATTTTGGCATCACCCCCTCTGAGTGTCACCTCGTGTGGTCCACACCCCTGTGTCCCCAAGTGACACGCTGTAGGTACAGTGACACTGGTTAGCAGGTTTACTGAGCACGTAACGAGGTGTTATTTAGTGCCAGCTGCGCTAACGGCTTTCCAGACATACTTGGGGTCAAAAAAAGGAAAGCAAAGGGAATTGACCCCAATGAGAAGGTGGGTGGGGTCATGGGGCTGGAGTGAACTGCGCCCCCTTGAGCAGAACCCCAGCCTCAGGGTCTGAAGCCCTAGAGGTGGAAAGGAGGGGACACCGCTGTCTGACAGGTGCAGGTCTGAGACCACGGCTCTGACCCCATGGGAGGGGCTGTCACCTGGACCTAGAAGTCTGGTGACGATGTGTAAGTAGCCTGGGGTCACGGCCACTGAGCACACTAGAGAATAAAGCACGACAAGCCTTGGAATGTGACCCCACATCACCCGAATAGGATAAAACAAAGGGGCTTTGTTTTCTGAGTCACTGCCGTACTCCCCCTCACACTGCCCTCCTTACACGTTATTAACGGGGTGTGACTGCTCAGGGGACAGGGAATACACAGCGTTCCTTCATGTTGTCGCCGTCATTGGCTGCGAGTCTCTGGCACACGTTAGATGTTACACCCAGATTTCAAAATGAAACTGTTCGTTTGAAAACTGCCTGTCTGCGGTGGGCCTTTAGAGGAGCAGGCCTGGCTCAGGGCAAGGAGGGACGACCGATACACCGAGAGGCCTCTTCACGCGCGTGTCCCTCAGTCCCCCAAAACCTAGATGCTTAAATTTATTGTTAAGGTAAAACACACACACACACACACACACACACACACACACACACACACACACAGAATTTTAAAAGAAGTCCCTTACGGGAATTTGCCCTCCATACATGGCCCTTCCAAACCAGATGACCTTCCCCGATTGACAACAACTAAGACAGTGTTAGAAAGTCTTTGGAAACACGATTTGCAGACTGTGGGTTCAGTCTTACTGCCCCAGAGAGCGCTAGAAAGGGCTTCTGTAGGTCAGGGATACCAGGACAACTGTTAGTTGTACCTGGGAAGCGCTGCAGAGAAAGACGTGAGAGAGACTTTGGAACCCGCTTCAGAAGCAAGTTAGTCATTGGTTTGTTTTGTTTTTAAGGAAAATCATTCCTTTGATTCTGTGAATATATATAATCACTTTTTAAAATAAATCAGGGTATTAAATTTTATATAAAACCAAAAACCAAATCCACTGCGTCGAGTCGATTCGGACTCACAGTGACCCTACAGGACTGGGTGGAACTGTCCCAGAGGGTTTCCCAGGCTGTAATCTTTACTGAAGCAGACTGCCACGTCTTTCTCCCGCGGAGCCGCTGGTGCTTCCAACCGCCGACCTTTCAGTTAGCAGCCGAGCACTTAAACACTGTGCCACCAAGACTCCTTCATTGTAAATAAATCAGACCATTTCAAAAAGAATAAAAAAGAGACATAAATTGTCTGCCACTGTTTATAATACCCCGATGTATATTGTTACAGATTTTCTTCCACACAGCCTGCCAACACATCTCCTCATAGTCCTGATAGCACTGGGTAGGTATTTCTTTTCAATCTGTGTGTATATGTGTGTGTGTGTGTGTGTTTGGCTATTTTTTATTTTATATCTTTTTATGATTGTAGAGATAATATAAAATCATTATATAATTTCAAATATTATAAATAAATAAATACAGATATACAAAGTGAAAACCCCTCCCTGAATCCTTCTATCGTAGCCTCGATCCCTGTGGATAACCTCTTTGTATGGTTTTCCAGGTGTTCTTCTCAATGTTCACACCAAAAACAAATGTTTTGTTGTTCAATGGCTGATTTTTCAGAAGTAGACTGCCAGGCCTTTCTTCCAAGGAGCCTCAGGGTGGACTTGAACCTCCAAAGTTTTGGTTAGCAGTGAGTGCGTTAATCATTACACCACCCAGGAAGCAGAAGTACACCTCGGCTTCAAGTGTGAGCTTCCTGTCTCTCTCTTTCTCTCTTTCTTTCAACTCAGGTCGGGTCTCTGACTTGCAGAGAGCAATGATCATGCCCTTAGGATTACGCTGGATGCACAGTGCACTAACCAGTGGTGTGCTCTCAAAAAAAAAAAAAAAAATGTTCTGACTTGTAGCATTTGCTCATTCGTGTGGTGTAAATACTCCCTCCACGGCTGATTTCAAACTACCGACAGAACGTTCCTGACCCTGGTGATGGGAAGAGGTGGCCAGTTGCTCTCGAGAGCCAGTGCAGTGGTCTCTGGCACACCACTACCCATGAATCCTCTTCCTGTTTGGGCTGAATCCCCTGTCACAGAAGGCAGAGCTTGCCTCGCCACCCTGGTGGCTAAAGGACGCACGTATCCCTCTCCCAACCCCAGGCCCCTACAGCTTGTCTCGTGGTCTACGCGAAGCCCGTCAGACAACCCCACCCAGGACAGTGACTCCTGAGAGCGAGACGCACAGGTACGGGGCTTGCTAGAGAATATCGCGGCACCATGGTGGGCTGTGGTGTGGAGGCGAGTGCTCTCTGGGCCAGGCAGTAGCGGAACCCAGCTGGGGTAGCAGCAAGCGTCCAGAGGCGGTGGTGATGGTGGTGGTATCCAAACCAGAGTGTTCCTGTGACAGGATCTTGCGGGTCCCAGTGACCCCTGGACTCGGGTCCTCTGCCACCTCATTGATTCCATGAACTAGTCAACATCCTTCCATGAAGCCCTTTTCTGCTTGATTAGCCACCGTCACCAGCCCAGACCAGATACTTACAACAGGAGATGTGGCTGCAATACAGTGCAGACATGGGCTGGCCACCGCCTGGTGAGACAGTGGCTCTGAAAGGACGCTCGTCTGGACACCAGTGAAACGTTAAA